ACCATTTAGAAAGAAATCTCCCCCCCTACAATCTCTCAATTCAATGTAATGAACCCTGCACTCTTCTATTTGGAAAGAAATCTCCCCCCCTATAATATCTCAATTCAATGTAATGAACCTTGCACTCTTCTATTTCAATGAAATGACAAATTCATATTTGGAAAGAAATCTCCCCCCCTCCAATCTCTCAATTCAATGTAATGAACCTTGCACTATTCTATTTCAATGAAATGACAAATTTAGGTGGGGAAGCTCCCCCGATGATTTAGTAAAAAAAAAATCTCCCCCCCTATAATCTCTCAATTCAATGTAATGAACCTTGCACTCTTCTATTTCAATGAAATGACAAATTCATATTTGGAAAGAAATCTCCCCCCCTCCAATCTCTCAATTCAATGTAATGAACCTTGCACTCTTTTATTTCAATGAAATGACAAATTTAGGTGGGGAAGCTCCCCCGGTGATTTAGTAAAAAAAAAATCTCCCCCCTATAATCTCTTAATTCAATGTAATGAACCTTGCACTCTTCTATTTCAATGAAATGACAAATTCATATTTAGAAAGAAATCACCCCCCCCAATCTCTCAATTCAATGTAATGAACCTTGCACTCTTCTATTTCAATGAAATGACAAATTCAGGTGGGGAAGCTCCCCCGGTGATTTAGTAAAAGAAAAAACTATGTAGGTTACATGAGCTTGAGCAATTCTACTCTTCCATTTCAATGAAATGACAAATTCGGGTGGGGAAGCTCTCCCGGTGATTTAGTAAAAAAAACTATGAATTCTACTCTTCCATTTCAATGAAATGACAAATTCGGGTGGGGAAGCTCTCCCGGTGATTTAGTAAAAAAAAAACTATGTAGGTTACATGAGCTTGAGCAATTCTCTGAGAACATTCAGCAAGTGATTGGCAACACTAAGAGCTTGATATATAAGATCAAAAGTGAAGGTCCTAATCTAAATGTCGACGATTCAAAATATAGAATTCCCCTAGTATGTAAATTACTTTTGTAACATTTCATAATCAATGCTTGCCTAATTGTAACATTTACTCTTAATTCATAGTTCCTCAACGATATCATCAGCGGTTATCCTATAAAGTACCGGATAACAGAAAATGAGCTGCAACGGATAACAGAAAATGAGCTGCAAGTTCTACTGTATAAGTCCATATAAGCTGATGTCTCGCAGGAGGATCACCAATTTCTTATATCGGTCCTAGAGAACAATATGAATATTCTTAAGATCTACTAGCTATTTGGTCCATGTTTAAGAAGACCAGATAGGAATGGGTAACACCATCACAGTTATTACTCTTCAGTATTCACTAACCTCTTGTTTTTCTTTTAATATTTTGTTATGTGTCTAAAGATTTTTTGCATGCAGATATTTATTGTACCAAACTTCCAGCTAAAGGCAAATGAGGAAAGGTCTGGAGGCTATATAAGGAAGGTGTTGATGATTGAGTGGAATGCTCTGGATCTTGCTACGATAACTATTTGCACCTGTTGTTACTAGAAATTGTTTTCATGAAGTTGTTTTTGTCAATGTGTGTTAATAATTCGGTGACATATTAGGTAGCTTGGTTATTGCACTGATATTTTCTTAATACTATGAATTGAGTTGTATTATCATTTCATAACAAGCAAAATGTATTTCCTAATCTGCGCTACCAGTACTTGTTTCATAACAAGCAAAATGTATTTCCTAATCTACGCTACCAGTACTTGTTTCTAGTTTCTGCTCAGTGTTATTCAGTATTTGGTTTTCGCTGCAGCTAAAATCTTGCACTATTAGTTATGTCATATTCACAAACGAAAATGTACTGACTAGATTTCTTAAGTCAATGCTTGCCTAATTGTAACATTGACTCTTGATTCATAGTTACTCAGCGATATCATCAGCGGTTATCTTATGAAGAACCTATAACAGAAAATGAGCTACAAGTTCTACTGGATAAGTCCATATATGCGGATGTACTGTCGTAGGATGATCATAGATTTTTTTATATCGGTCCTATATAAATATTCTTCGAGATCTACTAGTTGATTTACGAAATGAAGTAATTCACCCCCTTTTTTGTTCCATGTTCAATAAGACAAGATAGGGATGAGTCACGTGTTACCCTTCAGTCTTCACTATCCTCTTTTTTTTCTTTAAATATTTTGTTATATGTCTAAAGTTATTTTTTGGCATGCAGATATTTATTGTACCAATCTAGCAGCTAAAGTCAAATGAGTTTGGCATGCAGATATTTATTATACCAACCTGCCAGCTAAAACCAAATGAGGAACAAGGTCTAAAGGCTATATAAGGAATGTGTTGATGATTGAGTGGAATACTTTGAATTTTGCTGCTATAACTATTTGCACCTGTTATTCCTAGAAAATGTTTTCATAAAGTTGTTTTTGTCAAAATGTGTGTTAATAATTCGGTGACATATCGGGTAGCTTGGTTACTGCACTGGTATTTTCTTAATACTATGAATTGACATGTATTATCATTTTATAACAAGCAAAATGTATTTCCTAATCTGCGCTATCAATACTTGTTTCCAGTTTATGCTATAGTGTTCCCTTCTTAGATGATGTTGGAGTATTGTTCTTAAAAATGCTCTTTTGAAATTTATTGTGCTTCAAGGTCTCGATGTAGCTTATCAGTCTCACGAGTATTTCTTTTCCAATAATGGATTACACAGCAAGTCTCACGAGTATTATGAACAACAACTTTTCATGATTAGCTGCTACTCGCAGATGCCGTCGAGCGCCGTCTCCACCGAATGCCGCCACGCCAGAGCGCGCCCACGACGCGGTGGAGCACTGCCTTCACCACGGAGCTCCACGGTCGGTCGTGAGATTAGAAGAAGGGAAATTAGGAGTGAGAGGAAGAATATGACAAGTGGGGCAAGGGGTACTTTTGACCTTTCACCTTATCTCTAATATTCAACCAGAAATTAATATTTTAATGTGCGCGGTGTCCAGCAGCAAATAACCATGTTTAGAGAGTGTTTTTCCCCCAAAAGTGAGTGAGTTTGTGCTAACCAGGTTTAGAGAGTGTTTTCCCCTAAAAGTGAGTTTGTGCGGTGTCCTACAGCCAAACCCATAAAGTCGTGATACCCTTTAGCAAAATTTGCCCTTTTATAAAACTACAGATATTATGATCAAACTATCGTAAAACTACAATTTAATTAAAATTATCACAAAACTACACATTTAATATGGGTTGTCATGAAACTACATATTTATTAATAAAATTATCATAAATCTACAGGTTTAGAACCAAGGTAGTAAAAAAAACTACATTTTTATAGTTCCAACATATCAATGATGCTAGGGATTTATAATAGTTTTGTGATAACTTCAATATTAAATATGTAGTGTTATTATAAATTAAGTGTTAAATATGTAGTTTTGTGATAATAATTTGGTCAAAATGCTTGTAGTTTTGTGCAATTTACTTTAAAATGTATTGCACTACCATAAAAGATGAAGAGGGTGGGATTCAAACCTACCTACCACCTGCAAGAGAGACTACCCCGTATGATGTGAAAATTTGCCCTTTATAAAACACATTTGAAGATTAGACTGTGCTAAAAACTTATTATAAAAACATATATTTTTTTAGTGCTAATCTTGTAATCACTTAGGTGTTATGTGCTGAGCTATAACACCTTAGTGCTATTAACATTGGAGCGGAGATCCTATCCGAGATAGCGCCTACTGCTCAAGTCATGGGAGCTCAGCACCAAACCAACTGAACTAACGCGGGCCTTTCAAAACAGCATACCATTGCTAGCCTAGTGTTGGAGACCTACGACATCTTTGCAAGAGGTAGTCCCCATTTGTGCGATATCTGTTACTCTTTAACTTTCATCAACATCTTTTAGGCATTTTCCCTCTTTAACTATAATTCTTTTCATATTCTTTTGAAAATCAAAATAACATAAATTTACAAATAGATCATACTTCCTCCATTTCATATTATAAGACTTTCTAGCATTGCCCACATTCATATATATATGGTAATGAATCTTAGATATATATGTGTGACTAGATTCATTAACATCTATATGAATGTGGGCTATGCTAGAAAGTCTTATAACCTGAAATGGAGGTAGTATCATTTTTAAAAGAATATTAAGAGTAAGATAAATTTTTCCATATAATATATACCTCTTTTCCTATTGTCTTTCAAATTCAAGTTTTTAAAAGAATATTGTCATTTTTAAAAGAATATTTTGAGAGAAATATTAAAAGAATATTAAGAGAGTAAGAGGAAGCATGCAGGTCTCCTTTCTTCATACTATATGTTCAATTTGTTCCTTCGTATACTACCTCTGTCATGAAATATATAGCAATCTACGAATGATGGGATATATCCTAGGTTGCTATATTTTAAAACAGATGATTTTTTTCCTATAATACCTGGCAGAAGACTCTACTGATCAACTGATGTGTGATGTAATTTCATCGTGGTTTTGATTTAACCCACTCTCGTGTATATGTAACTAGAAAATACCCCGCGCGTTGCTGCGGGATTCGTAGGTAGGAACATAAGACTATATGTGGAGATGCAAGGCAAATGCAATAGATAGCCATGGAAAATGATTATTTTATTTTATTTCAGCAAACAATATTTAGTATATTGTTGGACGAAATATAAACGGAATGCCCAACAAAGGTGAAGTTTGAGATACAAATATCTCAAATAGTTATAGCAATGTAAGAGAAAATAATTTTGATTATTATTGACCTATCTTCAATTAAAATGGTCTACATGTGAGGTAATCTATGTTTTATGATTAATGTAAAAAATCCATAAAGTATTGGATCAACATTGCTCAATCCCTTACCATCCTATACCATAAAGTAAATTGAAAGCCAAAAAATTAAACATTTTCTATATTTGAAAAAAGTATAGCTACCATATCTAAACAAAGCATCAGAAACTCTCTTATTTTTCTTTCTTGATGATACTAATCATTAGGGCAGAGAGATTGTGTCGATAGAAACATACATGCTGAATCCCTTATTGTTTGACAAAATGTTAAATTGTGTACTATTACAAAGAACATCCTTTATATTCTACTAAGAAAGAAGGGAAAGATGTTAAGTAAGAACATCATATAGCAAAGAAGGTTAGCATGGACAGATGCAAGGTGCATCCACCATAGGATGCAGAGGGCGTTGCCCTTCATCTAAAAAAAATGAAAACTTCCAAGGACCAATATTTACCTAAATTAAGTTCATTGCTGAACTCAGTCCCTGATAGTCTGCAGAAAATATGATATTGTTCATTTGTTCTTATGGAAGAAATTGCAAAGCAAGTAACGTCGGGTGGGCATAATATAATATTTGGAAAACATGACCATGAATGAAGATGAGAAAATTAAACATTACCGATTGTATTGTTGATATTTTTCTTAATAGAGGATTCATATCGGAGGAAATATATGCTGCAACTGCTGCTTTGGATGGCCATGGCGACTGACCTCAGCGGTAGCCCAGAGCTGCTACTACAACGACAGTATATAATCTACTAATAGCAATGATCTGCAACCGTAGTATTCAGAAATAAAACAAATTAAGGTGCAGCAATACATAAAACCGGTATATGCATATATATGATCTTTAGAGTCGTCATATAATACCATGATCATGAATTGGCACCTTTAACAAATTGTACATACTAAATAAATTTCAATGTTGTTGAATAGGGACAGTATAAATCTGAAGAAGAGACAAATCCAAATAAATGTCAGTCGTGTTGAATAGGGACAGTAGAAATATGAAGTGACAAATCCAAATAAATTTCAATCCTATTGAATAGGGACAGTACAAATCTGAAGAAGAGACGAATCCAAATAAATATTGGGACAGTGGAAATCTGAAGAAGAGCTGAAACCAAATCAATACTCGTATGTCCTTAATCCGTTGATAATCTGATATATAACATGAACAAATCAATCGAGTGTGACTCAAAGGAGAAATGTAGGCCAATAAATTGAATGAACATATATGGTTATGGTTCAAGAAAAAGAGGAAGAAGCATACCTTTGGTAGAGGAATATATACCCCTGAGGTTTCTTGAAGGTGAGGAGGTGGCTGAAACTTTAAAGGCAGGGAAAATGAACGGAACTATGGTTTTCGATGCAGTAGGAAGTGAATCGGGCAGCGTGTGAGGACTCGACCGAGCAAGATGTGGAAGAAGATAGTTTCTTGAAGTTGAGGAGACAACAACTATCTTGATGACAGCCATAAAGTTTGCTCGATGTGAACGGTGGTTTCCGTTTGGAGGCGAGCAGTCCAAGAGCTGGCGGGGAACCACGACGCTACGCAGGATCTGGAAGGTGAGGCGCCGGTGCCGCGGTCGCAGTTTCTGGCGGCGCGGGGAGAAGCGACCGCTCGGACGCAGGAGGGGAACGGGAATGGTGGTGTGGATGGAGTGTGGGAAGATGCGGTGGAAATTGGGCCAAGGAGTGTGGATTGGGCTTGATGGTGTGTAAAGTTGGGCTTGTTGGCCAGCAAAAGAAAACAGAGGGACTGCACATCTGAACCATTGATATTTGATCCGATGGATTGCCAACAGATCAACCGGGAGAAGCGCTTGATCGAGATCCAATGGCTAGGAGAAAACGGGGTGACGTGGAAGCATGAGGATGCAGAGAATTCCTAGTAGTAGGGATGATTTGTATAGGTATATAGGATAGCCGATTAGCTGAGCTAGTAGTAATTGTGAAGACACCTGTATTAAATTTGTTAATCTGTATTAAATTGCGCTGGTAGGATTGCAGTACCTACGAGTGCTACGACTTCCATCTTCTTTTTTTTCCTAGCTTCTTTTCCCTCCAGGACCTGCGGTGTCGATGCTTTTCCTAGCTTCTTTTCCCTCAAGACATGCGCTGTCGATGCTTTGAGGGACTTCTCTCCATTCCCTCCATTGACCGGAGTATAATTTTTTTCCACCTTATTTTAATCTGATGGCTCTTGAATCTCCTTGTTTTATCTTATCTAATCTAACATTCATGTTTTCTAATCTAACGGTTCATGTTTTCTTGATTACGTGGTTCATCCCTGTTAAGTTTTGAGATTCACATTTCACTAATACAGATGTGTGCAACTGTTTATTCCATGCATTGTTTATGTATGCTTAGGCCACTCCCTCAGCCTAAGCATGAGGCATACACTAGGGCAATGGGTATAAGATACGTTCATGATTGAATCTAGTGCAAGTGGGAGACTGTTAGTGATATGCCCTAGAGGCAATCATAGAGATGATTGTATCACATACTATGTTTACATATTTATCCGATTTTGTTCCTTGAAATAGATAACTCATTATTGGTTAATGAATATGTGATTCTTTCATGAGACTCTTTATGTTATGTGTTGCTATTTCTAAAGGATCCCTGATCAAATATCATATGTGGAACAAATATGTTTAGATGATCAGCACATGTATTAATTGATGATCATGTCTCATGGATCATGATATAGAGATATCAAATTAATAATGTGGACACATGTTGGTGAACATGTTGTTGGATAGACCCAACATGAGACACTGCAAGAGCCATATGTGTTGTGTTATCGGTGATCTCATTTAGTATTGGTGTTGAATCCTTAGACCTGAGATTATCATGGTTCCCAACATATGTAGTAGCTTACTTAGGGATTGCTAAACGCTACTCCGTAATTGGGTAGTTATAAAAGTAGTTTTTGAGTATGCTATGAAATATGTAGTGGGATATGAATAATCAAGATGAGATTTGTCCCTCCTATGGAGAGATATCGCTGGGCCCCTTGATGTTGTAGATTATGGAAGTGCATGGCTATGCCAAAGGTGATTGAGGAGTCAATCACAAGTTATATAATCTATCAACAGGTTCGAGTGAATGATTGAGCTATTAGAAGATGGCACATATCAGCCTTGAGCTTAATCGATATCGTGAGGCAAAGGGATTCATACAAGTATACACTAGAGGTTCAGCCGATATGATCTTTATGTATGCCCGGTGGGTCAATACGTTTTGCTAGGGGCAGCTGTTGACGCGTGGACTGAAAAGGAGTTTTTGGGTTACATCCGAGTGTACATGAACCTACAGGATCGCACGCTTAATGTGCCGGAATAAGGGGATTGGATGGAGATCCAATATGAGCTTAATTTGGATAGGGATCCGAATAGGAGTCCTACAGGCCTTGGAGGCCCGAATGATGGATCCTATATATTCGTGAGGGGTGTGACCGGCGGAGGGATTGCATCACGTGAGAAACCCTAGCCGTCACTCCCCTCCCCGAGCAAAACCCTAGCCGCGCGGGGGTGCTAGCACATCTGCGCCTGGTGTTCCGTCCCTGTACGTGTGGATACCGGTAGAGGCGCCGCTGGTTTGCGGTGCTGATCGGCGTGGGAATACGACGAGGAGAACGCACGAGGAGGAGAAGGTCGAGCTAGTGCGATCGACTACTTCCTCTACATCGACGCGCGCTACTTCGTGAGAATTCCTTCGACTTCTTAACGCCTTCTTCCGTTGCGCAGTGCGTCGAGTGGTAACGATTTATGATCTAATACTTGCATGGTTCCTGATTTACGCGATAGAAAATTTTGATTTATGCTATCGTAGCCTACGTGTATCCCAACACTTCTCTCCATTCCCTCCATTGACCGGAGTATAATTTTTTTCCACCTTATTTTAATCTAATGGCTCTTGTATCTCTTTGTTTTATCTTCTCTAATCTAACGGCTCATGTGTTCTAATCTAACGGTTCATGTTTTCTTGATTACGTGGTTCATCCCTGTTAAATTTTGAGATTCACATTTCACTAATACAGATGTTTTCTAATCTAACGGTTCATGTTTTCTTGATTACGTGGTTCATCCCTGTTAAGTTTTGAGATTCACATTTCACTAATACAGATGTGTGCAACTGTTTATTCCATTCATTGTTTATGTATTGTTTATGTATGTACAACTATTGTCCCGTTACAACGCACAGGCGTACAGGCATACCTAGTAGACGTATAAATGAGTGTTATATAGTAGAACTTATCGGTAAGATGCGTGCACCAGTTGCAATGTCCTGCACACGCGAAAATGGAATGGCACTCACTACTCTGACACGCCAATTTATATCCGGAAGTGGCATCTCTCGTCCAAATCAGGACTAATCAAAATTGTTATTTAGATGGCAGGTTGACACCGTCAATGGTGACTGCTGAATCTAACTTGATACTGTTGACTGCAGGAAAGCGAGCCGATTCTTGGTGAGGGAGATCTTCTCTTCTGCTTCTGATGCTTTCTCACGAACTCCACGAACAATTTCTTCTGGGGCCTTCTCTACAAACTACAGCACGAAAGAAATGCATGGTTAAAAGGATACAGAAATTGGTTTCAAAGGGATAATATAGTTGTCATGAAGATGAAATATATGCGTACACTTCCTGAATTGAGACGGGCCAGCAAAGAATCATATTCCGACTGCATCTTAGAGAGGCGCTTTGACAGCCGCTTAACTTCCTCAGAAACATCCACCATGTCAGCCAGGGGTAGATAGGCCTCCAGACCCTCATCAGCAACAATGTGGACCGACTGATTTGCATCACCTGCCAGCAACAGAAGTAGATGATTTATATTGGCCAAGTGCATCAAGGAAGATTATGTTGACAAGTTATAGGCACACACCTGGCGGCAACTCGCTAAAATGTATACTCTGCATGTCAAGCTTTGAAAGTAAAGCCAGGACCTGCTTCTCCTTCTGCAGGCATCAAAGTACAGATCATGATGCTGAACAAATAAAGGGTTTTTTCACAAAACAAATAAAGGGTTTTCATAATGTCAAGACGCAGGGAAGTTAGAGCTGAAAAGGCAAGACAGTATCACACATGCACCTCTATGTTCCAATAGTGAAACTTGCACATCTAATAACTATGCATATGCTTTGTTTTCTAGCAATGAAAAGCTTTAACTCGAGTATTGCAACAAGATAAAAAGAATAATAATACTTACCGTTCTTGGTAATAAACATGCATGTGCATTAAGTTGATTCTCAGATTAATAGATAAAAAAGGTCATACAATATATATACGATGAAATGCCACAAAGAAAAACCCGTAATGTAAGAAAATGCTCACCGATATGTAATCTAGGACATCTGCGGCAGCAACAACTGATGAAGATATTCGCTTGGCTGGCTCAACAGAATACTCTGCTCGAACATTTCTGATACCTCTTATCTGTTATCACATTTACAATGGAACAAAATGGTCACCACAGGCAATGTCACCACTTAAAGTATGAGCAGCTCAAGTCAAAGATTTACCAACGATTGCAAATTCTGAAATCTCTTGATCGAGAGAGAATTCTTAGGGAGATCAGTCGCAGGCCAGTGGGCAACAATAATTGCTTGTTTTCTGTATGGCAATGCCTGAAATAAGAACGATAATGATATGCTATTAATGGTGAAGGTAAAAGTGATATACTACATTGCAGGGAATAATAATTTACGGTTAGGTTTCACTACCTGCCATAACTCTTCAGTGACAAAGGGCATGAAGGGGTGCAATAGCTTCAGTATGTTTTCAAACACATACAACAGAACACTTTGTGCCATAGAAGAAGCTGAATCATCACCAGAGTGGTAAAGACGTGTCTTGCTGGCTTCAATATACCTGCAAGAGAACTAATTTGGTTGACTGGATGACACACAAAAATATACTAAAAACAATGCATGATGCATCATGGTTGGGCCCTCAGGATATGCTGGCTGTGGCTGCAAAAACAGGAGCCTGATAGGCCATAGTCGGCATTACCAATTCAAATGCATGATGATGTCCATGCTTTCTTTTCCATAGCAGTTGAGATTGAGGTCAGCAATGGTGCGCACACCTTGTTCTGGAAAGATAGGAGGCTACATGGGCAGCGGATCGCTGACCTTGCCCCTAAACTGTTTGCTCTGGTTCCTACAAAAACAACCAACAGGCGCACGGTTCTTGAGGACCTAAAGGAATACAGATGGATCCTGGATATACAAGGTGCAACCTCTGTTGGCGCCCTTGAGAATACCCAGATCTCTGATTATAGGATCTTTTATCTGAGGTCTGTGTTGCAGCCGGGTGTGGAAGACATTCACCGTTGGCGGCTATCAGCTTTGGGGTAATAGTTGGCCAAATCTGCACATGACAATTTCTTCCAAGCCTCCAAGGTGTTGTCCTTTATTTTTCTTTTGGAGGGTGCTGTCCGATTTCAGCCATGGGAGCATACTTGGAAATCATGGGCCCCAGGTAAATGTGACACTACTTTCTTTGGTTGTGCACAATTGGTGCTGGACTGCAGATCACTTCACTAGGTGAGGCTGCCGCACCCTCCTTGTTGTCTTCATTGTGATCAGGACGTTGAGACTATCCATCACCTGCTCACTACATGAGTTTCTGTTAGACGATTTTGGTTGAGTCTCCTGCAGCAGGTTGGCCTCCCTGCCCTGTCGCCATCGCTGGGGAATCAGTCCTTGACGAGTGGAGCTGAGCTAGCGATGCACTTAATGGCCTGGTGCAGCAAGGCCTTAAGTCCTTAACATTCTTGGTGTTTGGACTCCCTGGAAGCATCCTAATTGTTGTGTCCTTTATGGTGCTACCCTCAAACCTGGCAGGTGCTTTTCTGCTTGCCAAGGAAGAGGGACAGTTTTGGGAGTTTTGGGATCTAGCTGGGGCTCATGGCGTCTAACATTGTGATATGTTTTAGTTTCATTTTCTTTTAGAAAAATTGCTCATGGAATCTCCATTGTTAAGAAAGACCTCAGCTTTCCACTAAAGCTCTTGACAGTTCTTTACCATTTGGATATAAGCTCAGATTAAGAAAACCAGACAAAAGTTAAGCACATAAAAGGATTTTAGTTCTTTTAATCCCATACAACTAGCATATTTCTTCCCATCAATGGGAAGGGCTGCAATCAGAATTTAGACAAACAGGACTATGTAAATTAAAGGAAACATAAAAAAGGGCTCAAATAGGAAATTCTTTGTTCTGCATGGTGGGCAGGTCTACCAAATATGATAAGTTGTACACTTGGTTACTCAGGCCCCCTGTGTCTCCTTACATTGTCAATAGGGCTGATAGTCTCCAGATTAATTGAGGCAGAAATATTAATGTGCTCTTAATGAAAAGGCCTGGCCTCATATTCTTAGGTAATAAAAAAAATCTTACCAATCAGCAAAGTCCCCCCAAAAGAAATCGTAGATTTCTCTAGCTGCATCGCCAAAGAAAAATTTGTCGTAGCTTGTGCTGACCCTATCGATGAGTTCGTGTAATCCTGTCACCTGGATCGTAGTGTATTCTCTTCATTAACAAACTGAACATTAATCAAATAATTCGAGATAGTAATGTACTCTGACTCACCACCCAGGATTCTGGCAGTGGTAGTTTCTGAAGTGACGCTTCTGTATCAAACTGGGCAATAGATGCAAGGTGTTAGCAACAGTTCTAAAAAGAACTAAATTATGTCAATGCATCAAGTGCAATTCGAAATTCAATCAGATACCTTATTTGCTAACAAGACATCCCATGCAGTGGCATCACTTCTATCAGGCAAATTCTGCAACAAAAATTTGCCTGCATTCCAGAGTTTGTTGGTGAAAGCCTTGTTTGATGTCAATCTTTCTGTAGAGAGATTAAGGTCCTGAAGCAAAAAGGGTATTAACAGCACAAAATCAAACAATCTTGATAAATACAAAAGCGACTGTATAAGCAAACCTGGCCTGCGGTACCCATGGAAAGTGTAAATCTCAATGCATCTGTCCCGTACTCTTTGATGGTATCTAGAGGGTCAATGACATTCCCCAGTGTCTTAGACATTTTTCGTCCCTGAAAATTAACTTGCTAATTAGTCCATGGAAACAGAGAGCTAATATGGCAACAGAAACAACTCAGATGAACACGATGACTAAGGGTACAAAACAGATTTCACAATGGGCTCATTTAACAGTTTAACTGGTGATACCACTTTTATATCAGATAAAAGGAGGCAGTGACTTCAAATTTGAGGTAATGTGCAGTATGTGACTAGCTGCACTAGAGCATCATACAGTCAATTAGCACATAAAGCATGAGACCCCAATCAGGTGCAATGTTTGATCTGAGAGGGTTCAATCCCGGCTCAAAAGAAAACAAAATTTCCAAGTTATGAGCCTTTAATGGTTGATGCCCTTTAGAAGTTCAATCATGTCATTTTACAACTACAAGAAAAGTTTGTTTAATCGACTCTCCCTCAAAAGTACAGAACAGGAACTAGTGATTAAGGTGCTCCTCTCTCACCTCAGAGTCCCGGATGAGACCATGAAGATAAACATAAGAAAATGGCACAGTTCCTGTAAACTCAATTCCCATCATGACCATTCGTGCAACCCAGAAGAACAAAATGTCATGGCTGCCAAAAAAAAAAAGAGAGAGAAAGCTATAATATAATGGAGGTAAATGGAAAAATAAATAATCAACATAAAGAGCAGCGCAACAGTATTATCGCTGGACTGAAAGATCAGAAGGTAAATAAAGTTGTTGCTGAAGATAACATACCCAGTCTCAAGAACAGTTGCAGGATAAAAGTGCTTAAAATCCTCACTGGATAGGTCTGGCCAACCAAGTGTACTGAAAGGCCACAGAGCACTGCAGGACAACTGCAACAAGTCAAAACAACAAAAAACTATATGCAGTTTTCTTAATACCTGTAGCGATTTGTGTCTGAAAGTGTTTATACTTCTACATGGTACAGCACATGGAAATAAGGTTCATACAGATATCCCAGATGCCAATCAGAAACTGTAAGGGAAAAAGAATACTGCAGTATAGGAGCTCCATTAACTATTCATCTTACTGTTGTACATGAAAAATAATACAAGGAGATGGCTAAAACCTATTCAGACATCTTAATAAACACATTTCTGCTCTACAATGCAAGTTGTAAAAGCTATTTTAGGCCCATGTTATGAACAAAGCAAAACAAAAAAAAACTTCAGGAAGCGGACAAGGAGAGGAAAATACATGTATGCTAAGTCATTACGAGCATACAGCTTTACAGATGGAAGACAAACCTTGAGAACCAAGTGTCAAGAACATCAGGATCTTGATATATTTCAACTGATTTTCCATATTTTTCCTGAGCCTTTGCAAGTGCCTCCTCTGCACTTCTAGCAACAATATAGTCTTCCTCACATTTCTTTCCAACGATGTACCAAACAGGGATCCGATGACCCCACCACAGTTGCCTACTAATACACCAATCCTTTATGTTTGTCAACCAATGATTATATATCTGCAGCAGCAGCACAAATAAATTATTGGAGAGCAGCAAAGTCAGTTCAAAGAAATCATTTTTACAGGAGTAAGATATAACCAGAGATATTAACTCTTTATTTGGCATATGCATAGTTTTACTGAGAAAGTGGGAATACAGAGACAGATTCCTGCTTAGCAGTTCCAATAAAAACTTTAGACATGTTTTATGTGTGCTTACTAGTGAGCAGAAGATTGGTGCATAGAAAAGCTAATGATTAATGTATTACCTTTTCAAATCTCTCTGGAAGAATAGTTAGTTGCCCTTTTTCAACAGCATGAAGGGCCTTTTCAGCTAATGGATCCATAGTGACAAACCACTGTTTACTAATCAATGGCTCTATTACCTAGTGACACACAAAAGTTAAGTTCATTAATCTTTATGGTAAGCATCGTTAGCCTACATGTATGAGCAGGTACAGGAGAAAAGATCACACTTCACCACCCCGTTGAGATCTAGGAACTCGAAGTGTATAGGGTTCCTTCTTTACTGCCAAGTTAGTCTCAACAAGGTCAGACCACAACTTCTCCCGTGCCTCAAAACGATCCATGCCACTGAATAAAGATAGCAAAGTCAAGGTCAAGAACATGTCAAATACAGAGGGCTCTGCAGCTGTGTTGCCTGCGGAGCAAGTATAATCGAACAAATATTGTACATTCTCTTCGATATGAAATAATTGAGGTCGAATTGACTGTTTTCTGTTTCCACTGATTGTGAAGGCTAAAAGCCACAGAATCTCTTAAATTTTCCAACAGCAATTTTACTATACTCAAATTTCCATGTTATAATAGAAGATAAATACTGGTCGTGTTGCAAAGAGGATACATGGGTTTATAAGCAGCACAAACTACAGTCCCTAGATAGTAGTTATGATGCAACATGGAATAGAACAGAGAAACCAAACATTGAAAATTGCAAGTCTAAACAAATTCAAAGGGAAATAAGTGAACAGGTTACTTAAATTGAAGTTTGAACGAAAATTAATACCTGTATAATCCAGCAACATCATTTAGTGTACCATCTTTGTTCATAACATTGAGAATTGGCAACCCAAGTTTTCGTGCAATATGATAATCGTTATGATCATGTCCAGGGCTAATCTTCAGCACCCCTGTTCCAAATTCTGGATCAACATACTGTAGATCATAAAACCGATATATTGTTAAAAGGGATAATCGAAGTCTATCGATTATATAAAAGAACACCTTTCTTTATAAACCGGGTTTGCAACCTAATGCATGCCTATCATTAAGTGAGATTCTTGAGCCAGGGGAGATACACATGAAGTCATACAAAGTATGTTTAAGATCAAACCACAAACGAGGGCATACAAGTGTGAAGCCCTTATACAAAGAATGCACATCTTTTGTATGTATGGCTATTCGTCAAGCAAAAGCTTTCGTCAGCTCAGCAAGCAAAACGTTGGCATTTTAGCCCCAAAAACAGTGCCAACAGTGAAGTTTGCCTCAACAGAAACAACAGCTTTCCTGAGTTCTGACTTGAACTGACAAGCGATGGCATCACATTTGCATGTAGATGTGCCATTGGGACAACACAATAAAGATAAGAGAACGCCAACATCTAGTGAATACGGTACTGTTGAATTGCTTTACTTTGATCCGTGTTGCAACATACTTTCTTGGTTATTAGAATCATACAAATATTACAGGTAATATTAATTCCTACCCGGTCAGCAATAATAGGAACATGTCTCCCAAATGTCAAGGGAACAATAGCCAATTTGCCCACATATTTTGCATAACGTTCATCCTGCATTGCATTTAACAAAGAAAATAAGATTGGTTGTTCAAATAAATCAGTTCGAGAAATAGAACAATTTGATGCAGTCCCTTCGTCCCAAAATATAAGGCTTTTTTAGGTTTTGTGCAGAGATTAAGAATACTAGGTGGCGATATTAAATGGAGGATGGTTGTGGTTGGTTGAGAGGAGGGAGTAGGTGGAGAAGTTGCTACATTTTGATTTTAGGACAACTTTTGAATGCTAGAAGTTGCTATATTTTGGGATGGGGGAAGTAAGTTGTAACAGGACACAAGGAATGCTTTCTTTTTCTGATACCTCTGGGTTTACAGCAATTGCAACATCGCCAAAGAGAGTCTCAGGCCGTGTTGTTGCAATAGTCATAAAATCATCCCTGCACCAGAGGCTTAAGTTTTAAATACATATAAGTAATTTTCATCAACATACAGTGTCGACCATGCTGTTAGATTCCTTGTAATAGAATGCAAAACATAAACTTTATAGCGCGCATCATCCAAACTCATTCACATTTAAACATCACAAAAATGGACAATGATAACATCACCATCGATTAAAAAATGAATAATGATAAAACATATAGCCACAAGATTAAAGATAAGTCAAGAAGTACCTTGATCCACCTGCCACACGGTACTTGATGAAGTACAAATTACCAGGTTCTTCAGAGTATTCCACTTCCTGGTTAGATAAACCATTTCAGGATCAAATCTGGAGTTGGCTCATGCAACTATCCATGAAGAAGTAATTGAAGTTTGTCAGCTTCTGTATGTAATTATTCTCAAGTTTTATTTTTTATTTTTTGCTTAGATTATATATCTGCACAGATAGAAGTGTGCAGCTATTTCTTAAAAAATGAGAGGTAATATTGTAACATACTAAATCAGATACTGCAGTCTGTAGGTTTGGAGACCAGTTGACCAAGTAAGATCCTGTGAACGAAAATACAATAAATTAACCAATATTTACCATCAAGGTCACATAAGGCAAAACTAGACTCTCAAATTCAGGAAAAACACAAGAATTGAATGAAGAAAAAATCCTAAATTTCTGTTCAACGACGCAACTATCACAATAGAAAATGCCATAACAAGCACGGGCATCATGGACATGAACACACCCAAGTGTGTACCAGAACATATTAAAAACGTACGGCAAAAGGCATCTTGATACTAGCGATGGAAGTAACAAATTGCTTGGGACATAATTTTAGTAAATCTTGCTGCCGCTCCTCTCTGCTTGTAAATTCCAGTCATAAGAGAACTTAGTCTCCAGTAAGCAACAAAAAAGCTCAGAGCCAACAAATCCTATAATTCTGATTCAAAAATTTATGATGTACATTACACCACAGACCTATCCTATCAGCAAAATAAACGGATGCACTTGATATAGTTTGGGGCTAAAAGTTTAAAGTTTGTTCCAAATAGGACCCTGGGAAACTTCTGAAACTTGTGCTGTAACTGATAAAGTGATAATACATTACATAGAAAATAAAGTTATTACCACATGCCCCAACTTCTTGTACCTCTCACTACTGTTCAAACTATTGACACTGAATTTTTTTAAAAAAAAAATCAGTTAGTACTAAATCTATCAACACTAAATATGTTAACATAGTCAATTTGAAACTACAACCAAGAAAATTAGGTTACACTGACAGAAAAAACATAGGGAAAAGATTAAAAACTGAAAACTATCACACATAATATCAGCACAAGATTATGCACATTTGCTTCCTTTGTAATAGAGCGAGTAAATGATTATATTAATTACCTTGATATATAAGCCCTTTTTCATGAAGCCTAACAAATGCTTCAATAACTGCACCTGTAAGTAGAAAGAAAAAAACTAGTGAGACATCAGTTGTACAAACCACCAAGCGCTGATGATAAGCTTGAGGTTGAGGGGTTGATCGACCGACTACCATCACTATAATGATACATATACTAACAAATGCAAATTGCATCATTTGCAATGGAAAATAAAGGCTACACTTACGACTTAATTGTTCATCAAGAGTGAAACGCTCACGACTCCAATCACAAGATGCACCCAATCGCTTAATCTGATTAGTGATAGTGCTCCCGTACCTGGAAAGGAAACATCATTTGGAGTGATTGCTAGAATTTATAAAATATGTAACCTTCTTGAATCATGATTTTTTTTATCAACTAGAATATTTATTATTCCATCCCAAGTTCATGATAGTTTAACTGGCAATTCAGAATAATAACAAAAGGCTGGTCATCTAGATGATCAAATTATTATGACAGGTACCACCCAACACGATAATGATACCAGAAGATAGTTAATAAACTGTAATGCACATGAGCCTTCATGGCAAACACGTAAAAAAATGGAGGTAGGAGCAAGGGTATATATGGTTAATAGTAAATCCAAGTAACTATTAGCAATGATCACTTCATATTAGAAAAACAAATATAGCAATTACAGGTGCATAAAGAAACAATGAAGAAAAATTGATCTAGCTTCAGAAAAAGGGCTGACTTTTCTTTCCACTCCCAAACTCTTTTAGTGAACTCCTCTCGGGTCAGATCTGTTCTTTTGATTCCTTCAGCAGCTAACATCTTTTCCACAACCAACTAAAATGTAAATGCAAAAAAAAAGTAAATAAAAATCAGCCCATCACTTCACAAAGTCATGCTGAACACAAAATAGAATTTATCATTTCATATCAGATGTGCAGTAAGATCTACAAACCTGAGTGGCAATCCCTGCATGGTCAGTACCAGGCAACCAAAGTGCAGGCCTTCCTTTCATACGGAAATACCTTACCATTATATCCTGAGTACTTACACAAAAAGGGACAATTTAGTAGTAAAAAGATTACAGTGCCTAAAAAATGGGGGGGGGGGGGGACAAAAATAACTCATTATCAACATAGTGCTGTCACCAATAACTATCTACGAATTCAGACCACAAAATAAGCTAGTTTAACTGAAACATGTCAGTTCACAGAACCTCTGGATATTATCAGATGCTGTCCAACACTTCTGCTTAATATAGCAATTGCAAGTACTATTCAGTTTACCATCCATGGCACAGTTTCATGGGTCCAGTGCAAGAGAACTAAATTGCTAGTGTGATTAAAAAAATGATGTTCTTGTCTTTAAGAAACAGATTCACCTTGGTAAGTACATCCATAGCAGCTTATGCTCATGTTAACATGCAAATCACTTCAAATGGGTAAAAAAGATGAAACTCATATGTCATGATTCAACAAAGTGAACGTATAAATCATGAAATGTACTCAATTATGATCTGCTAGTAAAGAAATAATCAATCTATAGTTATTCAACAAGAGGAAAAAAATCTTAAATTTTCAATCATCATACCTACCTCAAGGGTGACAAACATAGCATGGCCCATATGCAGCGATCCGGTAACATTCGGTGGTGGCATTGGGATGACAAATGGATCTCCTCCACGATCAAAGTTAGGCTTAAAGAATCCTTGAGACTCCCACCTACAAAGATACAACATATATGTTATAAGGAAAATTTATTGTAGGACCAGAAAATACCGAAGTGCATTTCTTCATGAACTTGAAGTGAAACAGGCAAACAAAGCAAGTAGCAAAATAAAACTAGACCTGTTGACTTAAATATGTTAAATGCAATTCATCAGTTTTTACATTTTTATGTGTCAACTAGAGCAGGTAAACAATCATATCAATGTAATCTAATGCAACAGCATATATACACACACACACACACACTTTAGAAAAATGGAACTGGACCAAATCATGATACCTTTATACAGACTATCTTCAACCTAGATCCTAGAGTTGTACTTTGCATTTAGAATGCTATTTCAGTAAAAAACTGACGACACAATAGCTGAGTCAAGTAATAAGAGTATTAATCTACTAAAAACACAATATTTGAGTCAAGTAATAAGAGTATTAATCGGTCAATCTTGATACGGTCGTAATGCTAAACCTTGCATTGACATTAGGCAATGCTCAAAGGCAGGTCACTAACTCACTAGTAAGTGATCAAGTCTAACATGGATAATAGAAAATCAATTGCGAGAAAGCTTGTTATAGCATACCCTTTTCTGTTACTGGAACTCACTTTTAGTTCTGGAAATTGAAATTGTTTAGCTTAAAGGCATTAAGTAGAAGCATTGTGAGAAGCTTACTTCTCAAATACTACAGGGCACAACTACATGGGAGTGTAAGGAGAATTTTGCTCATCCAGATACAATTGCCAATCTAATGGTTGAAGCTATATCAAAAAATACCATAAAATCACCCGAACAGTCTAAAACTGCAAGGAAAAATGGCACTAAACTGCTCGCTGTATCATGAGTATCACAAATTAACTTACTGGTGAGTGTCCAATGTAAGGTAACACACGTTTAAGATTGACAAATTAATTACTGGGAAAATCATCTCAGCCATAGTTCCATTACCTCATGAAAATGGGGAAATAGTGGATAACTGGTAGAAATGCTAGCTTACCACTTATAAATCCGCTCCTCATTGGTGAAGTCGAACGACTTGGCGACCTCCGGGGAGGTGAACACATCTCTCTCCGAGGCAACTGCAGCTGCAACGGAACCAACCCCTTCACCGAATCAACACCAACCAAACGGACCAAACAAAGGGCAGTAGAAGCAGAAGACGGCCGGTACCTGCGCAGAACCTGCGGGCGGCGCGGCGCGGGGTCCACGCGGGGCGGCGGTGGGCGGAGAAGAGGAGCGGGTTGAGGCGGCGGAGGCAGGCCGACGAGGAGGCGCCCGCGAGCGCCATTGGAGCGGCGCGCGGGCTCGGGATAAAACCCTAGATTGCTATCCAGTCCAGGGGAGGAGGGGAGCTCGTGGGGTTTGGGTTTGGAAGAGGATGGATAACGCGGGAGGGTGACGAACCCCACGCAGGAATGCTACTCCTATTTCGCGCATACGCGCTAGGAACCGAACTCGCGCACGGGTAGGGGTGGACAAAGAGCTCGGGCTTGGCTCAGCTTAAAAACCAAACGAACCGATTATCCGTAGCTCGCTTCGAGCAAAGCCCAAACTGTGAAAAAAGACAAAAAAAAAAAAGACATACACCTACATATGAAATTTTATCTTTTAGCCGTAAAAAAAAAGACAAAATCATAATAGATTTTTACCCTCAAAACTGTTAGATTTTTCATGTTTTTTACTGCTAAATATAATAAATTTGAATATGAGACTTTACATATATGTGTAATACTATTAGGAGTAAATGTTCAATTTTTTTTAGAATATTTTGTGACATTTGTTAGTTTGTGTGCACGGGAAGCTTATATGTATAGGATATGTTTCCTTCTTATGATTGATGTTGCCAAAACATGCTGATTAATTAAAGAGCATTTCTCGATCATTGACGATATTTGATGAGTATTTACGCCAATACACGATGAAAAGACGTGAATATTAGGGAATGACCTAATATCAAATAATTAGAAGGGGTAAGGTTTCGAACCCAGATCGTCTAGCTCACCACCTTGTGAAGCTAGCCAGAAGACTCCTGATATTTCTCACGCCAATACACAATGGAGATGTAGAGCCTAGGCAATACCTAACCAGCCTTAGAGCTGGCTTCACCGATGTTCGTAATTAGTAGTTGCTAATGACAATGCCTTTTTTATTTTCGGGGACTTATTACATATTTTTTAACAAGATTATTAGTATGGGCTAGATGGTCTCTGATATTCTCTACTATCCTGGATTTATTTATTTTTGTTTTCCTAATGATTATCATTCGGAATCGGACATGTATTCCGAGTTGTTCCAATCTTGGAACGGAATAGGTTTTCCAGTGTCTCCCGTGTTTGGCCCCCTCTTTTATATGAGCAGGCGGCGCGGCAGGGAGGGCCTCAATCCAATCTGTCCGTGCGTCTGGTTTTGAAGATTAGATCGATAGCCGTACGTCGTCGACATGGCCGGCCGTTTCGTGTTTCCTAAATTGGCCTCCCATCTGTCTTCTAAATCAACAAGAAGCCTCTTCCCTAGAACCGCTGAGGTTCGTGCACCACACGCCCATCCGTCCATTCAATTGAGTATTGTTTTTTTATTAGACAATGAAATTGAATATATAAGTAGTTAGTTATAAAGAGTTTATGACGCTAATTCGTAATGTGGCAAGATGACAGTACCATTACATTTTTGTTACTACTTCCTCCGTCCGAAAACATAAGAATTTAGTATCAGATGATACATTTTCCAGTACTATAAATCTGGACAGAAATATCTTATCTGATTTTATGTTCTTATATTTTAGAATGGATGGAGTGCTAAATAACGCCAAAAAATTATATAATAGTATAATATTTCATATACTTGCAAAGAATATACTTGCCTCAATTGACCGTCCTGATTTTTTATCCCACCTAATGCAGGCATCGAGGAACTTCAACACCTTTCCAAGTGCTCACCCCAAGCTTAAAATAAACTGCCCAACCACTGGGCTGCCCTCTGTTGATCACACCAATCACTTGATCAAGCCCCTGGGTTGTGCTAGAGATGCCAACACAACCGCTTTATACAGTACAACTGTCAAGGACCGACTCACCCCAATTGTCCGTGAGTAAGTAGCAGCACTATTTTCTCTCCTTTGTATCTACATCGGATCATGTCGCATCATCCATCACTGAGAAACGGCAAAATGTAGAAAGGTGCACCACATTTAAAATGTAGAGAACTGCAAAATGTAAAATGTAGAAACTTGCTGAATCAAGTTTGACCTGAACACGAAATGAATCTATATTATCATATTCACTTGCAGCAGAGATAATAATAAGGTTGTGTTTAGGTCAGGGGTGAAAAGTTTTGGCGTGTCACATCGAATATACGGATACACATTTGAAGTATTAAACGTAGACTAATAACAAAATAAATTACAGATTCTATCTGTAAACTGCGAGACACATTTATTAACCCTAATTAATTTGTCATTAGCAAATTATTACTATAGCACCATATTGTCAGATCATGGAGCAATTAGACTTAAAATAATCATCTCGCAATTTACACGCAATCTATGTAATTAGTTTTTTTACTATATTTAATACTCAATGCATGTATCCAAACATTTAATGTGACAGGGTGAAAAATTTTACCATGCGATCTAAATAGGCCCTAAACCAACTAATTGTGAATTGTCTACTTGGAACATAAAAAGAATCAGTTGTGTTTGTGTTTTTTTAGACCCTGTATATAAATTTACCCTCTTGAACCTGGAACATTTCACTAGACAAACTGTTGAAATAAAATTGTCATTGTTTTGCCTTCTTAAACTACACAAATTGGTCAGATAATATTAAGATGTGGCTATATGTAAATTGAATTTGTAGAAACATTACTGATTTTGTTTTCTGTTCAACAGCGATTTGGCAGATTTTAGATTGCTCCTTAACATAATTAATACCGGGTATTTTGCGGGACTTTTTTCATTGTGCACTATATATTCGTACGTGGTACCAAGGCGGCCCTGCCAAAGTTCAAAATGCACAGAATGCCCAGCAAGTTCAAGCAACGACCAAAGTGCTGGTTCCAATCTCGAGGAGCAATGAGGGGCTCCAAATGCTATGAGCCTAATACTAAATAAGGTTGCGGTGGTTTGTTTTGTCAGCAGTCCCCTGTACTCTCTTAACAGATTTTAAAACACTCTACCTCTTTAGAGTGAGTAGAGATTGCAACGGCTCCGTTCCCCGTCTCATCATGGGAAATTCACCTTTTAGGAAATAGGAATTGTTAGAATTGGTTCTCCATACGGAACTAAATGGGAAGAGACATATCTCCGTCTGGATACATTGTATATATGCTTTAATATTGTATATATTGTTTTAAGCGAGGATGAAGACCCTGCAGGGATTAATTCCCCGTGTGAGGATAGGGATGGGAACCAAAATTCCCCTGCCGTATCTCGCGGGGACGGGGATAGGGTGTTGGAATTAATAGATGGGCTAAGGCCCATTCGAAGATTAATTCTTTAGAAAATCACAAAAGCCCACCTCATGGGATGGCATGCATGTGGAGTTTAGTACCACATTACTTATTCTAGGAGAGGGGACCTCCTTAAAAGGGAGGATGCCCTCCTAGCCATTTGAAGCATGTGTGGTGGAGAGAAGAGGGGAAACACACACGCGCTCGTCTCGCCTAGCAGGGCGGGCGGCGTGCGTGCACGACGTACGTGTCGAATGGTCCGCAAAATTGGCTCCTCACCCTTGCGCAGATGCAGACTCCTTTTGCAGTTTTGTTTTGCTACGGGAAATTCGGATTTGTTTTGTTTTGGAAACATTCCAAAAAATCCGGTACGTGAAAACGGCATGGAGTCCGGATAGGTTACGCGTGACTTATCCGGTTCGGTTTACGCGGGCGCCCTGATCAGGCGATCTATCTCTATATAAACCAAGCCGCCGTCTTCACGCAACACACGCGAAATCAATCTAGGGTTTGCCTCCTACTCTGTACTGCGCCGTCGCTCGTAGACTACTCCATCCCGCTCGCCGGCGTGCACCGGCGATCGGGAGAGCAGGTCTCTGGAACCTCTGCCTTCGACGTACTGCATTGGGAGAAGGCGGCAATAAGGTTTTTGGGAAGCGCTTCGCGCGACTGCTCCCTGTTCGTCCGCGACGGCTCGCCTTCCTCTCCGCTCGCGTGCTTCGCGCCTTCGTCGACGCTCGCAACCGCGAGTAGTTCCTGCCGAGCAACCGGTCTTTCCGCCACCTCGGTACGTGTTCGACATTTTGCGCATATTTGATCTGTTCATATTTTACTGCTTAGTTTACATGTGTAGATCTAATGATGCGTTCAATCTAGTTTACATCTGCAATGTCATGATTTATTTATGGAATAAATTAAATCATTATGTGCTTATAATTTCAACAATCCAAAAACCTTATTATAGGCGTTGTGATTTTACTATGGCTGGTTTTGCCGATGCACTGAGGCCGGATAAATTCACCGGTGTGCACTTTAAGAGATGGCAGATTAAGGTCACTCTATGGCTGACGGCTATGAAATGCTTCTGGGTGAGTACTGGCAAACCTAAAGGAATTCTTACTGCTGATCAGCAGAAGCAATTCGAGGAAGCCACTACTCTCTTTGTGAGATGCATTCTTAGCGTTCTTGGCGATCGTCTGGTCGAGGTGTATATGCATATGATCGACGTTAAGGAGTTGTGGGATGCACTAAATACTAAATTTGGTGCTACTGATGCTAGCAATGATCTGTATATCATAGAGCAGTTTCATGACTACAAGATGGCTGACAACCGTTCTGTAGTCGAACAGGCTCATGAGATACAAACCATGGCTAAGAAACTCGAACTCCTTAAGTGTGTCTTACCTGACAAATTTGTGGCCGGGTGCATTATTGCGAAACTACCTCCATCGTGGAGAAGTTTCGGTACGGCACTCAAACACAAGAGACATGAATACTCCGTTGAGGGGTTGATAGCGTCTCTTGATGTTGAGGAGAAAGCTCGGGAAAAAGACGCCGCGTCTAAGGGCGATGGTGGGCAGTCCAGTGCCAATGTTGTGCACAAGGCCCAGAACAAGAGCAAGGAGAAATACAAAACTCAACAGACCACCAACTTCAAGAAGCAGAAGAAGAACAACAACAATCCTAACCAGGATGAGAGGACTTGCTTTGTGTGTGGGCAACCTGGTTATCTGGCTAGGAAGTTTCCACGGCGCAAGGGGATGAAGGCACCTGCAGGGCAGACTTCTAAGTCTGCTAATGTGACCATTGGCAACACTGGAGATGGAAGCGGGTATGGTAATTTACCTACTGTTTTTTCAGTTAATCAGTCTACTAATTGGTGGGTTGATACTGGAACCAATGTACATGTTTGTGCGACATCTCATTGTTTTCTTCTTATCAGGTCGCACGGGGTTCCACCG